ACTTGGTAAGATTTTGTGGTTTTGCAGTGAACATACAGGAAATTACAGTTTTACCCCCATGATACTTGTTTTGTATTCTGTTGTGCAACTTTTAAAAGCAGCCAACAACCCCCCCACACACACATTTCTCATAAAACATGAATTATAATTAGCAATATTCAAATTAATAAAGCTGAGTTTGGGTTTAACTTGCACTGGTATGCATTGAAATGGTTTTAATTTAACGTTACGGTGCAGTTAAATCCTTTCTGCAGGATCTTACAGGAATTCCTCTTGCATACACAATAATCTTCTAACTTCACCCAAGTAACGACTCAGTTTTAAATGTGCTTAATTGTATTTAAAGTTAGTGAACCACAAATGTTATTTATAAAGGAGTTGTTAATAAAAATCTGACACAATAGAGTTTTATATAAATAAACAGTGCAGCTCTGGGCATGCCCTCTCATTCGGGTTTTCCCTTTTCAATTGGTGCAAATATTTCCTCATAGTTTTCTGTTTTTTTTAGCCCACTTCCTAAAGCACAAATTCACACATATACCTGCAGTTTACATGCATACCTTACTTTACTTGCATAACATATTTCTGAAACGATAAATGTTCTCTTCTCTGTAGTGCCCATAAATACACAAAATCTTACCAATTATTTTTTTATTGCAAATTTTGCAGTACAATGGAAATAAAAGAAAACTAACTTTTAATTTATAATATGGAGAGAAAAAAGCAGATTATTTCACTTATAACTAATACTTTTTCATCAATATTAAGATATTATTGATTTAAAACAAGCTCCTATATCTTGCTGAAAAGTTATTTGTAAGTTAGTTTTGTTTTATTTCAAGTGAACTAAGTTATTTGCACAAGAAAGTAGACCAAACACTTGGTAAGATTTTGTGTTTTTGCAGTGTAGATTCATTGTAAAGCCACTGGAGTGAAAAAAATATCGACATCTTTACAGATTTTTACTGTTTTTGGAAAGAACCTGAGCAGAGATGAAAAGCTGATTTTAAATTATAATTTTATAGCCTGAGAGAGGAAAGATATCTAAGCTACCAGGTAAAAACATAAAAGGCCGCCATTGTGAGTTAAATGTGATTAATCACATTGATTTTGATTGAGTTGCACTGATTTCAACTTCACTAACTTAAACAGAACCCGTCTGACAACATGAAGCAGGCCAATATCCATAAACAGACAAAGTTGGAGGAAGTGGTAAACCTTCCCAGAAATGGTCAATAGACCAAAATCATTTCAAGACCTTATCAATACAGGAACCCAGAGCAGCAGCCAGAGTTCTGCAGGTCCAACTTTCCTCAGTGAAAGTTCATGATTCAACAACAGAAAAAGAGAAATCGGGTAAAAATGGCCTCGAAGGCAGAAACTACTGATGACCAAGAGAACATTTCATGTTGAAAAACATTGATGATCATCATGACTGCTGGAAAACATTCGGTGAACTGATGAGATAAAAGAGGAAGTTTTGGAAACAACATTAATGCTGCAGCATCTTTTACATAAACACATTTGTTGAAACTGTCAAGGTGTTATGACAGTTTGATGTGAGACAGTCAGTGAATTTTGGAAGAAAGTGACTGAAATAAGCAAGAATAAAGTTGATTAATTGAGCTCCCAAAAAATGTGAAAAGTAGATGCCTTTATTTTAACACGACAAAATACTTTTAAAGTTTTGGATTTGTAATAACTAATATCCCTTTCCCATAAAAATGTGCATTTTTTTTTTTTTACATTTACTTGTATTTTGGGTCCCATGACAGAAAGTTCAGACTCCCCTGCTTTGATAGGTTTTGTGTTCGGCTGTGAATTTGCCACCATCTTGGCTCTGGCTTTGTTTTTTCTCTCAGTCATTTTTGTGGTTGTCTGACTACTGCCTCCCCTTGAGTCATTGTCTTCCTCAGTATCGGTGCTAACAGCTCACTCCATCTTCCTCCTTTTCTGTGTACGTGTTTATGGGCATGTCTGGTTTCTGGAAACATTTTTGTGTTTTGTTTGGCCTTTTGGCATCTGCAGCCATTTGTTTTATAATAATAAGCATTAATCTTCTTTATTACATTTGTCTTCTTTGAAGAGAAACAATACATGTAGAAATAACCTTAACACCTCCAGGCTGTTACTGTTTGTACGGTTATGAAAATAATTACACTCTAGACTCTGGGTTAAGCTGCTGTTCTAACTAATATCTTACATTTGACTCTAGACCTCATTGGCTCTAAAACAAGGCCAAATCATTACCCGTCCACCACCGTGCTTTGAGAATTTCAGGTTTTTGAGCTGATATGTTGTTTCAGTGTTCACTTTTTTCTAATGAAGATACTTAAACAAGCCAGACTTGTTCTTTTTTTCTAATTTTCATGTCATAAACTTTACATTTTAACTGAATCTTGTATAATCGGAGAAGAAGCTGTTTGGTTTTTATCCAATGTCTTTCACCGTCGGTCAATCTGAGCACTTTTGGTAAAATTGGCAACTGCCTAAAATGTTTTCTACTTATAATCTTTTCAACTTTCTAAGTTTAGTGCTGACGTCTTTGCTTTTTGTCATTGTGTCAACATGCGCATTTGTGCTTGCTTTTAGAGTTGGTCAAACTTAAGCAGAGGGTGACGGAGTAGCCAAAAATTAAAAAAGGAGCCGTCCAAGAAATTACTCAAGAGTAAAATAAAATCTGGTAAAAAGTCTACCCAAGAACTGAACATTTAATATTTAAAAATTACATCATCAGATGATATAAAATTTTGTGGACATTTAGGTATTTTTAATGACCAGAATGAAAATGATTCATATAAGTAACATAATTAGAATTTAAACAAAATATTTTTTTCCAAATCTGTTTCTTTCAATAAAAAATATGAAAATTTAACTGAACAGTCTTGTTCAGCATTTAGTGAAGTTACTCACAGTTGGCAGAAATTTTACTCCAGAAAGAGTAGCAATACTTCAAGTAAAATTAAAGTAAATCATTAGTAATCCTTAAATGACATTAAATATTGTCGAGACTCATTAGGTTTCTTGGATGGCTGTGGGCAGGAATGATCTCTTGTAGCAGTCAGTATTACAGCAGTTCTGAAAAAGCCTCTGACTTGAGACACTCTGTTGTAATTTTTTTTATTTTATAAAGAATTCTTATTTGCACCATCATCTCCAAAATATTCCCCAGAAGAGAACGAGCTTTCTTTATCAGGTTGTTGAGAAAAAAACTCATTTTCCTCAACAATCTGTTGCACTAAAATTTCCCCACAATAAAGGACAATAAAATATGTTTCTGTTATATTCTCATACCTTGGCAGTAATAAGAGGCTCATAATAAGAGCTGCTGTTGCCTTTCTATCATCTTAAACTTTTTTCTAACATGGTTGAATGTTAAGATTAGATCTAAAGAAGGTTGTTTCACTCTTCTTAAAATTAAAACCAGGTGGAGAAAATAAAAATGCCAACCATTGTAAATAAAAATGCTTCATTTTGTTTTTGTTGACTCAATGAATCAGGAAAAAAAAAAACCTGAGAAAAAACAGGTAGAAAACACTTTAAAAGGGAACTGAATATTAGTTGACATTTATGAAAAAGGTACCAGGTCTCACGTGGTAGAAGCAAACAATGGAACCGGTTCTGGTTCTGTAAACAAAGCATGAACTAAAGAATCTTCATAAAAGTATGGGTGAGAAATCCTGATCTGAACCAAACCGTGTTGGGTCATCTCACCTAGCTTTCTGCTGTTTAACTGAACCAGGTCTAAAAGGAGCAGCTAAGTGAAGCCAGGTTAAAGTAATCCTGTCACAGAGAGCGTTCATCCTCTGCCCACTTCGACAGACCATGAGGCCGATCACAGATTAACTGATTCAGGCCATAAATTGTTAGTTTCTTACACAGAGCAACAGATAATATTAGGATTTATGCAAATAAATTCATACAGTTTGTAGCATGTGATGTGCGTTCATTCACATCAGCTATGTTTGGTGCGATTTAATCAAACTTCACTTCATTTGCCTAGAAAGTCCGGTTCGTTTGGGGAGGTGTGAATGTGCAATCAAACTACTGCAGACCAAAAATCTGAACTCTGGTTCGTCTAAAAACCTCGGTCTCAGTTCAGTTCAAGTGAACTCTGGTGCGGTTTGAATGCATATGTGAACACCAAATGGACCAGAAACCGCTCCAAAAGCAGGAAGTGGACTACAGTGCAGGGCATTCTGGGTAAACACAAGCAAACGCGCTATTGCTAGAGAATTAGCTTTTTTTGTTTTTTTTTTTTTTTCAAAAAAAAAAAAAAAAAAATCCTTCAATCGCTAAAATCTGACGCCACTTCATTTTTGTTTACATATTGTAAGGAAGGAAGTTGCGCGCAGTGTCTTCTTCAGAGGTCTTCATGTTCCCTTTCTATGTCTTTGTGTCAAGTTGTTTCTTTGCCACATTGTTCACCCATTTTCATGTTTGTATATCAGTTCATTCTTTAGTCTTTTGTCATTCCTAATATAGTCTGAACCCTAACATCAGTTCTCAAAATCATTTGCTTTCAGATTGTTTCTAACATAACAATAGTCTAATCAGTTTTTATTCTTTTCCTTGGCAGTGTCAACCCACGTGTTGACATACTTGTTCAGCGTGTGGAAAGATCCAATGATACTCTGCCAGAATGAGTCCAGGGGGAAATGTCACCTGCCATCCTGAGATCAGTGAAGTTGCAAACGCATTTGTGATAATTTTCCTGACTATCGAGACTCTGGTGGGGCTGCCAGGCAGCATCCTCGCGCTGTGGATCTTCTGCCAACGTATGAGGTTATGGAAATCCCACGTCACCTTCCTCTTTAACATCTGTCTGGCCGACTTCCTGCTCTTCCTCAGCGTGCCCTTCCGCATCGACACCCACTTACGAAAAGACGACTGGCAGTTCGGGTCGATCTGGTGCCGCTTGAACCTGTACATGCTGTCCATCAATCGATCTGCCAGCATTTCGTTCATGACGGCCGTGGCAATCGACCGCTACCTGAAGGTGGTCCATCCGCATCACCCCATCAGTCGAATGACCTCGACTCAGGCGCACAAGCTGTCAGCGCTGATATGGCTCTTCGTGATTTTATATCGGATTCCGTTGTTGACGATCGATCTCCTCCATCAGGTGGGAGAGAAGAAAATATGTCGCAGCTTCCACTCCTACAAAGTTGTCCCTAAGGCAATAAAAATCCACTATGTAGCCTACGTCCTAGAGTTTGTCCTGCCTTTGTTTTTGCTCATTTTCTGCTCCGTCAAGATCGCCTGCCAAATACGAAGGGTTCAAATGGAGAAAAAGAAAGTGCAGCGTGCCATCAGAGCTGTAATGACCATCAGTATGGTGTTCATCCTCTGCTTCATGCCAGGCGTCTTCACAGGCCTGGTAGGGCACTACATAAAGACATTCCACCCAGAAGCGTGTGAATCCTACACGTTATGGATCAATCTCTTCGTGGTGAGCCTTGGCTTCACCTACCTCAACAGCGCCTTGGACCCCGTCATCTATTTCTTCTCCAGCTCCGTGTTTCATGACACTCTGACGAACTCCTTCAGATGCAAGAGAAGCATCAGCGAAGATAGCACCCTATAACCGCTGACAGGTAAAGACGATAACAATCGAGGTTTTGTGTGATTGAAGAGAGCGGAAACAGATTTTTACATGCAATAAATCAGACTAAATGTCTTCTGTTTTTCAATCAGGTTTATAAAAATTATTGTATTTGTGTTTGAGATGGAGCTTCAGTGTTTCCACATAATACTGATTACTACCGTCACAAGCTGCATTTATATTACTGAAGATATATTCAAAAAGAAGATATATTTTTCTTTTAGTGCTAAATGTAAAGTTGGTCATTATAGACAAAAAAAATCTATTTCAGAGTCACCAGACAACAAAGAGTCTGAGCGTGTTTCCGATCTTTTATTTCCTTTTGGACTCATTTTTTGTGTCGTTTCATTGTCATTTAGGACGCTCTGACTAGCTTTAGCCAGAACCTTCAAAGGGCCTTTTCCTTTTTTGTTCTGTGATTTATCCACACATCTTTCACCAAAGCATATTTATCTCAAAGACAGAACAATTTCATTCCTTAATGGTGAGAAGAGAAACTTGGCACCTTCATGCATCTGATGAACCCGTCGTCCACTGTTCTCTTCCTGATACCTGGATCAGTTTTACCCATGATGTCACACAAAGAAACAAACTGTTGTTGTCTTAAAATATACCCACAATTATACCTCCAGTTTACTCGGATGTTGTTTCTTAATGAACATCTGGAGCCTTACAAAACAATTACATCATCAGACTTGTTAAGAGTTAGTGTTGCCCAACGTCTGACCTTAAAAAACGTTTCTCTGTCATTATTTTCACAAGCCCAAACTGGCCTAAACCAGGAAATGTGTTGCTTGATTTGATGTCAAAGAAGTAAAAGTATTTGTCTTTGTGCAGACAAAAGGTTTTAACTTTAAATGTTTCTAAAGAGAAAATACTAATTTACTGATTTCCTCATTTCTTTCCACAGCCTTATTCCATGGAAACAACAAACTTCTTCTTCTTCGTGGGATTACAGATCTACATGCAGCCCGGATACCTAAGAGCCACTTTTACACACAAGTTACCCATAAAAAAACACTTAATCTAACATGACAGAACAGAACAAATCCAACAGATTTCTGCCAGGCCAGACCAGAACCTTTTCTTTAGTGCTGATGTTTTACAGTGTGCAATTGATTGGTGGAAAATGAAGCATTTTCCAAGCGTCTCAACTCTAAAACATATCAGTTGTAATTTGTGGGAAGGATGTCAGACAGTTTTTCAACTGATGATCTTGTAAGAGTACAATGCATAAAATCTGCATTTACTCTTGTAATTGCAGATTACAAGAGTAATCTAACAGAGTTTATATATTTATGTATTTCCCACCTTTTTGCTGGACAATTTCCTGGACAATTTCCTCAAAAAAACTATTAACGCTGAGAATCTCTTGGTAATTCTAAGGAAAAATACTCAGAAAACCATTCAATATTGTTTTATTTTTACTCTGTATTTCAAACTTTAGTCTGATGCTTGATTTTCCTAAATAACCAAATTTGAAGCCAGTGACTTACTGCCAATCACTAACATATTTTAATAAGAAATTAACCAATGAATATGGTGGCCGATCCACAAAAGTACATTTGCTGCTGAAGTTTAAAAAACTGCAGAACTAAGACAGTTTGTGTCACAGCTTGTCACACTGTGTTAAAATATGTTGATCTCAATTGCTGCAAAATGCTGCAATTTATTTAATACATGATTTGCTTTTCCCTTGAAACTTTTCCACAGCATCTTGATGAGACATGCAACTCAAGAAAGTGTTGCTAACTGCTAGCCAAAGCCATCTCTGAGACACTACTTTTACAATTTTAAGCTAGAATTGTATTTTTATAAACTTTTAACCCGCTGACACATTTGGATAAGACAGTTATTTCATAAATGTCTGTACTTATAAACAGGAAGGCCATAATAGTTTAATCATCTTACCTCTTTTTTCATGTGAAACACATGCTAAGCTAATAAACTTAACTTCTCAGACAACTATCTAATACAGTAGTAATTACATATATAACAATAGAAGTAAATTAATTTTTCAGCATTCCCTATTTTTTTAGCGCTAGATTTATATTATGTGTAAAGAGATAATTGTTACAGGAGTCATGCCAACACTGTATTTATGTAAATAACCATAAAAATACTATTAAAATAACTGTATAAGCAAGCATGACTGTGGTTTAAATGTCTATCAGGCAGTGTTCAGATGAACCACTATGAAAACTTTTCCAAAAATTTAGTTTTTTTTTTAAATTATTTTTTAAGATCTTTAAAAACTACAGTGATGGTGTGGTGCCTCCATCCTGGTTAGCCGTTAGCTTGTCTGATCTTATTTCTCTGTATCCAAAATCTTCTTTATATGGCCTGTCTAAAATTAAAAAATACAACAAAGATCCTACAAACATGACCAGAATAGCAAAGCTACATGCTAGCTTTTCCTTGGCTAATGCTAGCTAGACTTTTTTCCAGTTGCTTTTATTTTCCTTCAGTTTTTCTACATCTGTTGGTTAAATAGTTTACTGTACTGTTTTAGTTGACTGAAATTTGTGTAACAATTCTTTAAAAATGTCTTTAATATCAAATAAAAATAAATATATATTCTGAGAGTATCACATTGCAGAAATATGACAGAGTAGTAGGACCATACAAATAAAATATAAAAAAATAAAATTACAAGAATAAAGTCATAAAATTACTAAAATAAACTTGTGCAAGAAAAAAGTCAATAATATGAGAATAAAGTCATAATAATATGAGAATAAAGTTGTAGTATTATGAAAATAAAGTCACATTATTATGACTTACTTCCCATGCAACTTTATTCTCGTGACACTATGTCTTTATTCTTGATCCACCACCGCTAACAAAACAACTCACGTTGAGTTGAAACGTTTATCTCCGTTCAGAGTACAAGTATGCAAGAACAGGGAGAGCATGCAAACTCCACAGAAACAGCCTGCACCTTTAAATAGGGAGGAGGTCAAACAAGAGGTCAAGACAGTAGAAAATGGTAAATAAATAAAGAACCTTAATTTGCACTTACTTGGCTTGCAGCACTTAGTATTTGCTTGCAGTTGTGTTTGATTTAAATAATTCTTAAAGAATAAATGCATCAAAATGCACATGTCTAATACTGGAGTCGCTGAAATTATTCTTGAATGTAATGTCTTTAGAAAAAAAAAGAATATTAAGGACTAATTTTGTTTATTTTTTGGCAATAAAACTGAAAATTTATGTTTTTATTCATCTACAGTCTACAAATGTTTCTTAACTGACTTGTGCACCATTATGTTTATGTCTTTGGTATGCACCATTCCACTGTATGTGCACACCCATGGTTACATGTTGTAAATTAAACATGATCATTGAAATCTCATCCTGGGCTGCTTTATTTGATCAGCACACACCAAAAACTAGTTCCTAAATTTATGTTTCTTGCATCAGGACATGCACTAGATTAGGTAATTGTTGAGACATTTGGATCTGTTTTACTGGTACTTGGTGAGAAATGTCCCACCAAAACTTTGGAGAATGAGGACCTCTACTGGTCGACTGGTTTTGCACTAGAGGGTTAACATAATTACAGCCATTAATCCTGCTATTCTTGCTTTGGAAATAAATAAATATATAATATGAAATATATGGCTATCCAATAATAGTACAGTTATTTACAATGAAAGTCGTTTTCCAGCTTTCCATTTGCATCTGTGAATGACAACCTGTGAGTATATCATTCCCAAAAGTCAGAATTTAATAAAATACAGAAGGCTTTCCAAATTATGTTATTGTACTATTAACAAATTGAGGTATTTTGGTTTGATCACAGCTCACAATTTGTCAAAACTGGGATCAGAGCCTAAATAAATGGAAACAAATAGTCTTGCAAAGTCTTCCAAAAAATAATATACACTTAATAATTTAACTCCAGGATGAAAGCTGAATTAATATACATATATCTAAGTAGATAAAATGGATTGTAAAGTAAATATTTATATACTAATATTTATTTTTTTAAGGAATTCATATAACTTTTTTGAGCTGAATTGGTGAATTAAATATACTTTTTAAGAATTTGGGGAATAATTGGCCTGATTATGCAAATCTAGTAAAGATTTACATTTGTAACTATTATTTGTAAATATTTTTGTTCCAAGACATACTGAAAATACAGTTTAATCCAACTTTAACTCACTTTAAAGACGAGTTTAGAGAGGAAATCGTACGTTTTGTTGTACCACGTTGACGTGCGCGCTCCCGCGACGAATTCTCACAGCATGGATGTCCATTTTTTGGACAACACACCACTGGTGAACACGCAGGGAACTTCCACGTCGTTAAAAAGAGACACTGGAGGTTCATCGAGGGCCACTGCTATCTTTATTTGTTTTATATTAAGTTTAATCACGGCTCTGCTTGTATTAATACCCATTTTTGAGGGTTTTATGTCGTTCCGCGAACAGATAATGTACAGATAAAACAGAAAAATCTTCCGTTGACGCATTCCTCCGGACTCTAAACGTTTGTGTAATGTATTATCTACATGTAATTGGTAGAATAATAAGAAAATAAAACGTTGTACATAAAAAATGTGTCGTCACGGCTACACGTCATACGTTTGTTGCATGGTTATATCCCCAAATGTCCACCATTGACAGTAGGCTCCAGTGGCGCAATCGGTTAGCGCGCGGTACTTATAAGTCAGTACACTGCAGAGCAATGCCGAGGTTGTGAGTTCGAGCCTCACCTGGAGCAGTCTTTTGGTATTTCCTTCTGGAATGTTCTGCCACTAAAACTAAGTCCGGTTCGGTAATTGCTTTTGGGTCTACATTGTGATTGTGTCTGTAGATGAACTTTTAAAAATAAAAACTGAAAGGAAGCTGAACGTGTCTCAGTGTTTTCCTGTGACGATCTGGCCATCTGTCCAATGTGTGGACAGCATTGTTGTCTTGTCTTTTCTTTCTTTAGTTATACAAATGTTTAAATATTTTAATTATATCCTAGTATTTTTTATTTTATTATTGTTATATATTTTTTAAGCATTTCTTCCATTTAGTAGCATTCAGTTTCTAATTATTGTACTTGTAGGTAGTCTTTATTTATGTTTAATTTTGAAATATTTAAATATAGATGCATTTTGACAATGCCCGCAGTTTACTGTGTATTCTCACGCCCTATTTTATCTAGTTGTGTGGATTCACAAACAGCAGGGGGCAGTAGCACTCCATCTGCGCAGACCGACAACCAGGAAAAAAAACAATTTTAGTTTTGAAATATGACTTCAATAAAGACATAAGAGTTATTTAAATATTGGCCTCTTTTTTATATGATTTAACCTGTTAGGCCGGCATTATTTTTAAACTTACAACTAAAACTTATTGCAAAACATGTTTGGTTTTAAAATAACTGGAAGGAAAACATAACTACTTTTTTTTTATGAAAGTGATCAAAATCGTGTAAGAAGTAAGAGTGAAAATAGTTTGATTTGTTAAATATAATTATTGACGTTGCAGTTACACGTTTCACCACCAGAGGCCGCTGTTGTCCATCATTTGAACATTCCTCTTTTCGTTCTTTTTATTTTTTTCCCGCTCATTCTTGAATCTAACTGGCTGGATGTCCTTTTTGAATAAAAACAGTCAAGTCGATTTCTTCTTTTTGTTTACCCACTTCTGCTTTCTGTGTCCTCATCTAAATGCCCATTTTATGTGGCAGCACACAAACAATGGTTTTGTTGTTTTAAAAAAATGCTGATAAAAATGTTCTCTTCTGTGTATGTTAAATGTGTGCCTCATGCACGTGTAGTGTTTTGTATTATGCATGAATGTCATATCACAGGGTGTAAAACTGAAATGATCCAATAAATAACTTAATACACAAAGCAAAAACAAACATAAAAATTGATAAAAAAAAACATAAGACTTACATCTTTAAATTGACTTTCAAAACGACAAGACTCGTTCAAGTAAAAAAAATTGAGTTTGACATTTAAAACAGTCAAACACGTTTTTCATACTTTCATTGCTTTCTCTTTGATTGCTAATCTGTACCTGTTTGTCTAAACATGGCCATGTTTTCTTTTCCTCTCCATTCTTCCATGGTAAATTGAGCTGTTGCAACTTGTGTTTCCATCAAAAAACAAAACAAAGGAAACCTACAGCCAGCAGGAAAGTAACACTAAGCTTTAAAGGTCCAGAACATGTTCAGCTGGAATCATTCTCACAGTTTCAGTGTTTACAAAATCACATTTTGGATGCAAGATCTGTCTTTTATATTCCAGGTACAAAACTAACCGGATACTTTATTAGATTTATTAGGTACTTCTGTTCTTATTACCACAAATCCACAAATGTTGAATCAACATGGAAGCAACTCAATGCCTTTAGGTATTTAGAAGTTGTGAAATGGACAAACATGAACCGACAGTTCATGTAGGTTCAACAAAACTGGAGAATAACAGATTGGAAAAAAGCTGCCTCATCCTGATGAGCCTCAATTTTAGCCGCCACATTTAAACAGACATGTTATGATTTGGCGTAAACAAAATGAAGGCAGGGATCCGCCCTGCCTTGCATAACCGGTTCAGGCTGGTGGTTGTGGTTTAATGGTGCAGGAGAAGTTTTCTTGGCGCACTCTTAGTCTGTTTGTACCACGTGTCTTTGGTAATTGCAGGACTACAACCATCCACAGAGATCTAAATTGTGCAAATACTCGAGATCCACCTTTAAAACAATTGTTACTCCGTATTTTCATAGTTAAACACCAAATATATGGTAATATGCATTAATACGCACAGTGGAAACCATCTTAGCAGTACTGCAGAAGCTGCTCTTTGGGAACAGCCAATCAGCTGTATATAGAAAATGAGGGAACTCCTGGATTGACTGGTTTGCAGACGCTAATTGATAGCGTGTGAAGTAGCTTTGCTCCTTGGTATTTTAGCTTACCAAGCTCCATTTTCATTAGAATATTTTACATTTGCTCCACACAGTAGTGCGTAAATAGGCGACAAACAAAAGCAATATTAGGAAAACATAGTAAATTTTGGGTATTTAACATACCTGTTCCCTAAATGTCTGTGACTTTAATGCATTTGGTATTTTCTTTTGGTGTTTTGTTTTTGGTATACATTGATTTTAGTAGGGAGCCAGCACACTATAACTCAGATTAATGAACTCTGAAATGTAAAAGGTAAGTTTACAACTTTTATCCTTGTTTCTTGTGTTAGAAAAAATTTGTCTGTCAATTTTCAGAAAATGTTACCTTCTATAGCCATGTTTCTACTGATCATATTATTGTGCAATTTAACATTCTGAAAACAAATTGAAAATTAATTTTAAAAAGACTAATGCTTTGATAAAAAGATTTAGAGCTAGGATGGGGTGGTTTTTTGGTCTTATCAAAATTTGTTTATTTCACAAAATTGCAATGGAAACACTTTGTTCAGCATCACACGAGTCACACGATCAACAACAGGATGTTACTACTGACGGAAACCATGAAGAAGAAAGCAGGAAGTAGTCGTTTNTTAGNGATTTATCGCATGAACAAACTCTTTCACGTGTGATTTTAATGCCATTTTTTATTTAGTGGAAACACAGCAATTGTGAAACTGTGTTTTTTTTTCAACATTAGGAAGGAATTGACAAAGTTTTGCGCACATTTGTAATGGTAAACTCAGCTGCGTCTGTTAAGAAGAGACACATAATAAAGGAAAAATAATAAGTTACAAGCAATTTAAACTTGCTTTATCTGTTGTGTGGAAGTTTCTTCATCCAGAAACTGTTTTCTAATTTCTCTGGTTTTCCGTCAAAGACCTTACTGACCCAAAAAGCAAAGTTCTTGGCCTTAAATCCATAAGATCATTACTCCTCATTGAAAAAAACATGATCCTGGAAGAAATGACAGGTCATAGAGTTCAACTAGTTCCATTGTAGGTTCACATCAACCATTTATTTCCATCTAAAGTAAACTTTTTGTCAACTTCTTCATATGCTTGGGCGTCATTTTTGCGTTCTCTCTTATGGTTTCCACATGTAGCAGTCAGATGGTACCATCATCAGATGGAACGGGATGATGATGAGTGTGATAAAGGAAAGTAAACAAAGCTGAAGGAGCTTTGTCTGGGAGTGCGTAGATGTTATGCTAAGACCTGTTCTCATATTTCTGCCCTGATCTCGCCTGCAGCAGTAATTGTATTGATTCAGTGATGCAGATCTGTGTGGTCTTCTCAGATTGAGCTATCATATCTACCACCATGACTTTCATTTGCCGTTTAATTAAAATAAACCTGTCATGGGAGCAGTTTATTTACGTGTTCAAGCAATAGGAAATCTGCAACAGTGAGTTCGGATCTGTAGGTCCAAGGCCGACCCCCTACTGCTGCTAACCATGCAGCTATGTGCCAATAACTCCCATCTGTGTTTGGTTAGTGTTGAGTGCAGATGCACCATCTAGCTGTATGATGGCTCCCAGGCCCAGCTGTTATGTATGGCAGCCTGTGGGGTATAATTATCATCATTAGTGTTTTTTTCTTTCTTTTTTAGTGTTTTTTTTTGCTCTTCTTTTAAGCCTGGAGCGACTTCGCTGATTAAGTGTCGATCGACTCGCCACCGAAAGGAAGTGACGTAATTTCTGTCGGCCACACACCAGACGAACTTTCAGGTCGTCTTTTGTTTGTGTTTTTTTTTTCTTCTTTTAATCCAAAATGGATGAAATTTTAGGTTTTCCAGGAGGATGTTAGATGATAATTCGCTATTTAATTTTATAGAGAGATTATTCATTTGTAAACACAGTGGATGCGCGCGCAACTTGCCTGCAGAACGAGCCGCTGGTTGCCATGGTTATCAGTATTAATGTGGCAGTTTTCACATTAGCTAGCATGTTGCCAGTCAGTGGACTACATCTGTTTATCACAGCGTGATAAAATAAGTTATTCTACTAAACTGACATTAGTGAATGAGATGCGTTTTAAGGACCCGCGCATTAAATGGAGGTGAGTCAATAAATGACAAGAGAAAATGGCCCAAACGTCGGATATTGACTTTCTTTTTTTTCTTTTGCAATTTTGTTAAAATCATCAGCTTTCAGTGAGATTAGCGTACAAAAGAAAAGTAAACTTATTAATTAGTTTGTTCACGATCAGAGGGGAAAATGAAGATGTAGCTGCATCAATCAAGGCAGGTGATAAATTATGCCTTCAAAAATTAAAAATGCAGCGGATTGAACGGGAGACAGTGGAGGTGCAGAGATGGGTGCAACTCCACCCTCTGATAAATAAAACCTCTGATAGCTGCAGATGCCGCAATGGTGCGCCGGGTGAAAAGACGTGATTGGCGCTGGCTGCTAGTTGTAAATTATTTCATTAGCCTAATTGTAAATAGTTTAAATAATTAGAATAATGTATTTTTGTCGTTCTGAAAGTGACATGCGCAGTAGAGTGACTGCTGACGCAACATGACGTCGACTGACGTTGCTGGAACTGCAACTTCTGTTCAGGTGAGACTTATATTTTCTCTCCACATAGTGAAAGTCATGATTGTTAGGTATATTTAATACTTTAAGCCAAGAGTGTCCAATGTGTGGAATGAGGGCCTTGAAATGGTTTTGTGGCCCCTGACCAGAAGTCATGAATGGTAAAAATTTGTTGGCCACACTTTTGTTGCCAAACGTGTTTTGGCAACAAAATTTTAGGCCAAATTTTTATTCCAAAACACAAAGTTTGAAAAATGTCAGATTTTTAAAATATATTTTGGATCTTTAATGACACTGCAAAAACACAAAATCTTACCAAGTATTTATAGGTTTTAGTACACTTGAAATGAGGCAGACTCTTTCACTTACAACAACACATTTTTCCCTGTTATGAGTGAAATAATCTAGTGCTTTTTCACCAATATTAAAATTAATGACTTAAAAAGCTCCTATATATTTGAATGGAAATTTATTTGTGAGTTAGTTTTGTCTTATTTCATAATAATATTTAATTTCTCTTTGGGATTAATAAAGTATTTTTGAATTTGAATGGAAGATATTTGCTCTAGAAACTACAAAAATACTTGGTATGATTTTGTGTTTTTGCAGTGTAAAAAGATTTAATTAATAAAAACACATTTGTTTAGCAAGTAAAGCTAAATAGGACAAAAAATGTTTTAAAAATATCAAAGTAATTTTTGCATTTTTAATTTAGTGACCTATGTGTCTCGTCGGTAGTTTAAATTTAGTAGTTTTATGTCCTGTGTGCCTCTTTCAGAGGGAACAGTTTGAATTATTGCGGTTTTTTTGGAGTTGATTTAATTATTTAATCTCTTTGTTCTGATTAGCGGAGAATAGAAACATTTAACAACATTTAAACCTGACACCCACGATCAATATCACAGTGTTTCACTGAGTTGACTTTAAAAACATTGTTAAAATAAGTGGAAATATTTAATTAAGGGAAACTCTTATGCATGTTCAACACACACTTGTTTTACCCACAATTTAATTTTTATGCAATTAAAGATGCAGCCACAAGCAGCACAAATGGAGCTGGAGGCATGTATTTAAGAGCAATTATGAAGAAAAAGACGCAACTGCAAATCAGTTATGGAAAAAAAAAATCTGGCTATCAGCCACCAAAACAAACCGCTTTGGTGTGCCGTCTTACTCCTTGTTTTAAAAATATTTATAAATAAAGATTTAAAAGCAGAGATGCCAACCAGTGTGGTGCTGACGAGTGATTTATAAATAAAAACTCAAACTAAAGGTTGGAGTTATTTAAATTCTCAGTTGCAACATAAGAGAAATTAAATTTTTACACAACTTTCTCAGAGATTTCAGATTTTTGGGGGAGTTGGAAAGCGATTCACTGCACAGTGAATCGATTTCAAAATAAAATCTTTGCCTGATTTTGTTATTTTTTGCTATGTCTATCAATTATTGTCATTTTGGTCCTTAAAATACCAAAATTTCCACCTAACTTTATATTTTGGTCCATCTGATGATGTCATTTTAAAATATTAAATGATTGAAAAATTGATCAGTTAGTCAGTACTTGAGTAGATGTTTTACCAAATACTCTTTTACTCTTAGGTAATTTATTTGATGGTCACTTTTTACTTTTACTTCAGTAAAAATATGTACTGCTCATCATATTTTGCTTGCTTTCCATGCCAAATATACTGAAAATCTCTTCAGCAGCCTGGCTATTTTACCACAAACATACAGAAAAATTACAGAAGAATCAGAAGATTTGTAGTCATCCGCTTTTCATTTATGACTCCTCAGTCGGATGTGTGGCGTATCCTATGAATCAGTGCTTTAGCTGCACATGGACGCACTCGCTTCCAAGAAAGTGATTCTGGGTCCCATAACTTTGAGGAAACATGAAACTCCTCAAGTTCTGCAGCTTCTTTTGTCTCTCCACAGAGACTTCAGGCTCTCATTTGTCAAGCAGGAAAAATAAAAAATCCACGAGGAGAATCATCATCCTGGTTCGTGATCTTGTTTGTATCACAGCCTCCATTTCTCGTGGCCCTTAGGGAGCCGCAGTGAAAGTAACGTCCTCCGCGGTGCATCTGCTGCGTCCAGATAAATGTCAGGAATAACGGAAAGCGCGTGGAGCCCTGGGAGAGCGATTTACACTCTTGGAGAGACCAAGGACCAAGATCCATAAAAGCTGCTATCTGAGAGAAGGAGCCAAGATGGATCTGGCTGAACTTATCCAGAAAGAGACAACAACTCTTTCTTGGTGTCTCAATTCGAAATGGTTCACATGTGCAAACACACAAACATACACACTCATAAAATCACTTTTTACACTTTTTAAAATTCTTTTTTTTTTATCATCCGAATGCAGAAAATGAGCTGAGTTGGAAAACTGAAGAAAGCTGTGCTTTTAAGTTGATATTTTTAAAATGGGGGGGGGAAGTAATCCCAATTTCCTGGTGACTAGAGAATGAGTCTGATTTGAGGGGCGTGCACACACCTCCAAACTGCGCCCAGACTCGGCTGTAGTGGTTGCTGGGAGACTAAAGTGTTTCTTGAGTTGCATTTTAAATGAAAAAAAAAAAATTATATTCTCCTGGTCAATAGAAAAGGAGGACAAGCTGAGAGGCGCACACACAACTCCAAACTGCGTCCAGACTAAGCTGTGCTGGTTGCTGGGGGAATGAAGAAAACTGTGTTTTTTAAACCATGTTTAAAAAACAGTTTCTTGAAATCTGATTTATTTCCTGCAGATTAAATGCAGGAAAGAAATCAGAAGTAGTTTGAACTAAGAGCTGCGCACACACCTCCAAGCTGCGCCCAGACTGCGCGGTGGTCGTTTTTGGTAGAATAAAGTTTTTCATGCTGTGAATAACATGAAAAAACAAAAAACGGAGCCACAGTATTGTTATTACTTTTTGCATTCTCTGTATTTTGGCATGAGACCCGAGTGTTTTATCAGCTCCCATCGGGGGTTCATGTCCATCCATTGTGTCTGCTTTTGCTGTGTCATTCTAACGCAGATTTAAATGGCAATAGTATAAACAGCAGCGTGATGACCTTTGATAGAGGAAGCGGGTTGTCTGATCGTGCGCCAGCACCACAGCTGTGTACTCTACCTGAGCAGCAAGAGTCATGTTGCTCTGCAAGGTGTTTGACTGAACGTGAAGGATCTTTTAAAATGTTTCACCCTCCTTTACTACCACAAACCTTAATGTAGTGATCCAGAACTATGTTGTTGAATGAAAAATGATCCAATATAGATCTGAAAATAGTTGCATCCATTTATATTCTTTCTCATTTTCATAAATAAAATCAAAAATAATTTCAAGACAGTGAAACATGCCAACTTTAGGGGAAGCAAACCTATGATGCTTGTAGAAATAACAAGAACAGAACTCTGCATTTAGCATTTGATAATAACAAACATAAATTATGTTAATTAAAGAGGACCTATTATGCAAATTCACATTTTGCATGTTTTTGTACTTCCATTTGTATCTGTACTGCTTCTAAAAAAATCTCTCAGCCATTTTTTGGCAATAACGTAATGTTTTTTGATGACTGGAAAATGACCCATTTCAAAAACCTTCAGAATATAATGTCACAAATCAGCAGGCTCAGCCCGTTACCTAGCAACCCCAGCAGAGTTCCGCCCGTTACCTAACAACCTAAGCTGAGCTCCAGCACTTCTGGTCAGCTGGTTTTATCGGTTTATGCACTGTACAATGGCTGCTGGAAAAGACAAGTGTTTTGTTGTTGACTTACCATCCAGAAACCACTTGGTGCATTTTTTGTTGCCTGTACAGGAGGCCCTTTTTCTGCTTTTCAAAGATGTATGGCTGAGTAATTGTGCATCTGTTTGCAGTCATTTTCACGTGTGAGTGTAAACGTTGAGTCGGGGGGGCGTGGCCAACAGCAGCAGTAAATAATTCCTTAATATTGATGAAAAAGTTAATATTCCATTGGCAGATTAAGCTATTCTTTCCGTGTTATGAGTTAAATAATTTGCCAATGGAACAAGGACTTTTTCATCAATATTAAGGCATCATTTACTTTAAACAAGTTCATTTTAAGTTAATTTGCCTTATTTCAAGTATACTAAGATATTTGCACTGGAAACTAAACCAAAGATACATATTAAAATTTCGTGTTTTTGCAGTGTAGGCAGAACTGACCAGACTAAAATCTCATTACCACAGAATGCTTTTGAACAAAAAATGTAATGAAAATGTTTCTTATGTCCCATAGAGCTATAATAACCTGTTCAAGGAAGCATAATAAGTCACCTGTAAAACAAAAAGGCAACAAAAAACTTTTATGGCGCAGTCTTGCATTCGCAGCTTGTAAAACTTCATATTCCTGCAGCGTCTCTTTATTTCATTTCATATCCCCGTCCTCTGCAGGCAAAAAGCCCAAAACCCACACCCGCCTGTGTGCGCGCGCGTGTGTGTGTGTGTGTGTTTGTGCTGTACGCTGTTTGGATCTGTCGGCGCCCAGCCTATCGCTCCCTGTGGGCACATGAAGGTCGGCATGGCGGCTGGGGGCTGGGAGCCGCTGACATGGCCGCCCGGTTCAAAGAGATCGCGCAGGAGATGCAGTGAGAGGGGGAACACAGCAGCCATTATGCTCACCTTGGCCGAGCCTGGGAAAACTCTGCAGCCCCGTCGCTCCCCTGTCCTCGCCTGTGGTTACAGGCAAGGAAGCAAGTGGACTTACAGGTGCTGCGTAGCACTCCTCAGGCTTTGGATACGCCAAAGTCTGCCACAAGTGGAGAAAAAAAACCCTTACAATATTCGATGTTTTTCAATGAGCGCTAAGAGCTGAAAGATGGGAAAGAGTGATGTGTAGTGTGTGAAAATACCTCAAACCAACCACAAAAATATTTTAAGAAGTGATCCTGATTTTCCCTTTAGTGCCCAAGTAGAAAAGTTATAGTGTGGACATATAGCCTCTTGGCTTTACCCATGCAGTGCATAAAATGCAAAGTATTGCAACTTATTGCACCACAAAGAAAGTATTATTCAGAC